GGCTTCAGAGGGTCGCAGGCAACGCAGATAGGGGAGCGTGTAGGATCTTCGGTACAACCATTCGTCTATCATGACGTATTTGGATTCCTGACGCTCTACCCTCCTGGCGGCATTACGATCTACAGGGAGGGTTCCGTGTAGCAGGAAGCTCGCGAGCGGATCAATCCAGCTCGGCTCTGCTTGAACGACGGAGCGACCTCCTCTACCCCCCTGAGAATGCTAGGTCGAGGCAGGAGATCTTCCTGCAATATGTCGAACTGCTCTTCTGTACCGAGCTACCCTGCAAGTGGCGAGCTGCCTATGGTGAGCTGCCTGGGGGGCTCCCTGAGCTATGCCGAGCTGCTTGTGGCGAGCTCTACCGAGCTGCCTGTGGTGAGCTATGCTAAGCTGCCTGTGGCGAGCTATGCCAAGCTGCCCAGCTGTCAAGAGGCTGCACTTGGCTTGCATGAGGTGCTAGGTGTCACAATTTCACTGGAGGGCCAAATCCGCCCTCATCATATATAATAAAATTATAGAAAATAATATATATATATATATATATATATATTATAAAAATACTATAATTCTTAATTTTTAAAATTTAAAATAAAAATTTTGTTATATATAATTTTTATTTTTATAAAATATTTTTTTCTCAAAATCAAGCTCGAGTCGAGCCTAACTCAAGCTTATGAACTTTTGACTCGAGCTTGAGCCTTGTAGTATATTCTCTAGCCGAGCTCGAGCTCGAGCTCGAGCCTGATACTATTCGACTCGGCTTGGCTCGAATCCACCCCTATATACGCATAGTTACGCTTGGAAACACTATAAATCATAAAAATGCATTAACAACACTAAATATAAGACCTTAATGCGGTGTATATACATTAAATTAGTATATTTTAATTGTTTTATGAAGAAATATATTATAGTTAATTATAATTTTATTAGAAATCTCATACTTAACTATAATTTATAAATTATAATTCTTAAGTTTTAATATTTTATGGAATGGGAAAACCCAACTCCCCTATCCAACCGTAAAACATGCATTGGCACAACTTCTAAGTGAAAATATAATTAATAATGATTTATTATTTAATTAATTTTTTATTTATTATTTATTTCTAAAAATTATAAAAAATAAATTAACATTATATAATATATTCAAAAAATAGTTATTAAAGAAGAAATTTCAATTGGTCTATGGATATGATAGATCATCTATAGAATTATAATATATTCAATTGTTGTGATCAAATGGTAAAATATAATTAATTATTATTATTTTTAATTCTAAAAATATAAAAAAATCAAAAAATATTAAAGAAGAAATTCAATTGCTCTATGGATATGATAGATAAATCCATAGATCTAAAAAATATTTAGTCTTTATAGGTAGAGAAAAAAATTACATTTTCAAATTTTTTGTTAATTAATATTTTCCCCAAATATCTTCGTAAAATTTCCTTAAATCTACTGATAACACAAAAAAAAATGTGATTTTGAATGAAAGAAATATAGATCAACATAAATTTAAACATTCAAGAAAATAAAGAAATCGCAAGATATTATAAAAAATTTTAAAAAAAAAAAACTTACCTATTTTTTCCATTCTTTTTCAAAATTTGAAAAATCTTCAAAAAAATAACGATTCACACTTGTTTCTTGCAAATTTTTGCAAATCTAGCATTCTAGGAATGAGATTTGGAGTTTTAGAGTGGCTTATTTCAAGGAAAATAAGTTTACTTTCCCCCTTTATTTTTTTCAATTTTTGGTCGTATCTTTTTTGTCAATATGCTACCGATACGACCTGATGCGCCCCCAATACACCCTTGACATGCCTCGATACACCCCCAATACGGTCCAATACGGGTCCGATAAGCATGAAAAAAAGGCAAGACGTCTGATTTCCATGTGTATCCCATATATGTTTTTCAAAGATTCGATACCGTATTGGGCGTATTGTATAGAAATTTTAAACCTTTGCCCTAAGGGGGCGTTCTTTTTTTGGATTTTGAGAGGGGGAAAACTGGTCAATGGGATTTGGGCAAATTTTTTAAACTACCCCTACTCTTTAGCTAATTGACTAACTATACCCTTACTATTTAACTACTGTCTTGCACCACACCTACTCTTTCTGACAATCAACTAGCTCTACCCCTACTGTTAGCATCCATTAATGTTTTAGCAAAATCCGTACACACATGACACCACATGATGTATAATTTTTTTAAAAAATCCCAATATTACCATGTGACAAAATTTTGATCCTTGGGTAAAATTGGTATTTCATCCTTTCTATTAAAATTTAAAAGTGGTGGCAATTGTTAAAAACAATAGGGGTGGTGCAAGACAATAGTTAAACAGTAAGGGTATAGTTAGTCGATTCACTAAACAGTAGGGGCAGCTTAAGAAATTTGCCCATAGGATTTTGATCCCATTGACCAAAAAAACTCATGTTCTTTTTTCAAATTTACGTGGGGACGAGGGAAAGTTTATTTATCCTAGGTGGGTAAATAACTTTCCCACCTTGGAGAATGTTACCAATAATTGAATGGGACAAAATGTCCCTTTTAATAATTGGGTAAATGCACTTACCCAAATAAGTCTTTATTGAGAAACACTTACCCGGGTAAATAACTTACCGAAAAGCGAATGAAGCCTAAATGTTAGAGAAAAAATGCATAGGTGTTTAATTGCCAAACCCCCCCAAAGTACAAGGGGTTCCTATAATTTACCCCTACATATACCTCTTATGTTACTAAAAAACTTTAAAAGGCTAAGAGAAAAAATCAGATAGATGGGCTAAGAAGAGGATAGGCTCAAGCTAGTCAATAATGATACAACTCCTAAGATTTCATTACCATACAAAACAAGGTTTTGTATGGCCCATGAATAGACATGTCCAACTGTGTCTTATAATGTATTCTCACAGGCACCATCATGTCTACATGATAGTTAGTTGCATAAACTCATTATTTATTAGAATTCTTCATTTAAATTACATTTAATTGTATAAAGTATCATGAATTTTTAAATCACGTGGGATAGTTTCTTCTTCCTATTATCTCTGTTAATGATGGATGCTTAAATATAACCCAAAATTCTTTTATGTTCAACAGTTGAATGGTCGAACCATCATCTAAAAGGAAAAGCAATTAAAACTTGATTAAATTTTGAAATATTGAACAGAAATCAAATAGAAAAAACCAGCCTAGATATAATGTACTTCAAACTTCAAAGCTTACCACACGGATAATGGACCTAAACAAAAATATTTCGGTAATTATAACTACCCCATACGGGTCATTAGCTATGGTTGTTACTATTGTTGGATTTGATCATTATTTTCTATATTAATCAATACTAATTCAGAATTCCCCTGATATATATATGGTTGTAAGTTGTAACTCTTTCCTATGAAATTTAATTTAAGAAATTAAATCAGCTTTAATTTGTAATTGATGACATATGCGGCTAACATCATTAAAAGCCTCTAAAATGTTAACCATGTTTCAAAACATGAAAAATGTGTTGACGGATTAATGTCATATCTTACGTTACGTTAACTTTCAGTTAAGAAAACCATTTCCTACTTAAACACGTTCTCATCATGTGGGGAGGGGATAAATTGGGATCTGCTACTTACAGAGCGCTCTTCACACCGACCTTAAAGTCATATCTCACCATGTATTAGTTAGGAACATCGATCTCTCATGAATAAGAACATACAAGTATGAAAGGTGTTCTCGATGTGTAGCTGGCACATGCTGTGCGGTCAATGTGAGGAGCAGATCCAAACTTGAACGGGATGCACAATGCAGTGATCTTGTGAACACAGAAGGCTGATTTGGGTCCTGGGTTTTGGATGCTTTTGAATTATGTGATGGTTTTACCCAATCTTCCCGATGTGCAGCTGAAACATACTGTGAGGTTGATGTGAGGAGCAGATCCAGATTCATACTAAACCTAACCAAATGACATTATAACATTGAAATATTTGGATATATAGGTTGGGTTGGATAGTGCCTCCAGATTTAAATCAGATCATCTGCCAACAAAACACATTAATTCCTACCCTCTACCAACTTGATCTAACACCACACATCTCACCATGAGAGTGAAACCCATCCTAAAAGTGGGACCTACTATATATGAAATGTGGGGTATGATATCATAATAGTAGAGGGTTGAAACGTATTTTATCGGCAGAAGATCCCAATTGAATCCAGCTTCGATCAAAGCAAAGCCTGTTCCAATAACCTTTACATCCTTACGTTGGGAATATATCCGTACTTACGTGTTTTATTTCATAATGCAAGGTTACAAGGAAGTGCTCGAACGGTGCGAACACCAACCTGCCCCCATAGAAGCCGAATTCATCCTAACTCCCCTAAACGTGGACCGTTCCATTGATTAGTAGAATTTCCTGTAGACAGCTCACGTTTGCTAAACATGGATTAGCTTCCTGATTCCAGACTTTAGGGTTTTGGGGATAAGGATGTAATACGTGGCGACCCGCCACTGGCCTCACCATTGGCATAGTTAGTTGGAATGAAAATTCTAGCAAACAATCAACCTAGACCACGTCATCAAGATTGGGACGCGGCGAAGCTACAAAAAAAGAACGTTTCCCACGTCATCATTGAGACTTTGTTTTACCAGCTCACTTTACCTTTTTTTCTCGCCACGTGTTACCTAACTTTGATTATCTGATTTGTGAGCTTGTCACCGTTGGAATTAGTCTTGCCAAAAGCTATATCCTAATCCAGTGGTGGATACTGAACAAGTGAACAAACTGCTGTACTCTCAAGTCTCTGAGTAATTCCTATTATCCCGCCGGTAGTCACAGCTACGTCAAAACCGGCGGCATTTTTACTGTTTACTGTTTTGACTTAACGATGTGACTGTAATTCACCAAAATGCCCCTAGGGGAACAAGAAACGGTGATCAGGGAAATACGCGGGAGAGAGCTTGCTTTTGTTTTTTGTATTTATATTCTTCTGCGTCTCCCATCTTTTAATTGGATTGTGAGAAGTTTTCAGTTTCCACCGTTTAGAATTGTGGAAGGTTCACAGAAATAGATACAAATTCCTAAGCATTAATTACGATTTTGCACAACCTGAGCTGCCATTGCTTCAGCAGCTTATCTGCACCTTGACTGTATCTCTCTTACTTTTCTCTCTTTCTTTCTTCAGTGTTTATCTAATTACGAATTTTCTATTCAATCCTTAGTCACCATTCTTAAATTGTTTCTGTATCGGGTTACCTATAAATACCCTTTTGAGCTTCCCTTCTTTTCTATCTATTCCTCTTATTCAATTTTCTCAAACACCGCAGCTGTTGCAATTCTCTTTCGTTTTCTTTGATTCTCGGTGAGGTTTCTTTTTTACCACAATGAACGCCCTCGCTGCAACTAATCGTAATTTCCGCCATGCTGCCCGTATTCTTGGTTTGGATTCCAAGCTTGAGAAGAGTCTTTTGATCCCTTTTAGAGAAATCAAAGTATGAATCGACAATTGAGTAATAATGAGTCTTTTCTCTTTTTTTTTCATTGGTTTTGGTCTTATGTTGTTCGTCTTGCAGGTTGAGTGTACGATTCCCAAGGATGACGGGACTCTTGTTTCATACATCGGATTCAGGGTTCAACATGATAATTCTCGTGGACCGATGAAAGGAGGGATCCGTTACCATCCTGAGGTGATTCTCGTTTAACATTTAATCTTTTCTATTTGTTTATTTGTTTTTATCTCCATGCTGCTGTTGATGTTTTCCATGTTTAGGGGGCAATCTGTATGAGAGTGTTGCCTCAAATGATTTGGGTTCCGGGTTCTAGTTCTTTTGGACCGTGATTGGTCTGCTCGCTTACAGAATTTTGATTGAGAACATTGATCAATTCGAAAATGCATCCCTATGTTGAAGAAGGCTTGTTTCAAAGTTGCATAGGAAATACTTTCTGATAGATTTTGTAGCTGTTTGAGCTAAGTTGTGTTATAGAAGATCTTCAAATGTGTAGTAGAGACTTATCTTGACATGCATGAGCACGATCACGAGACAACAGAGATATAAAAAAAAATTCAATGTGAGGCAGGAATTTAATACATAGAGTTTGGCAACCACTATAGGACTGTTTGGATCTCCTCATGAAGGCTACATGATAGAGTTTTGTTGATTTCACCAGTATCATATGCATTTCCTTTAAACTAAGGGAAGACACTGATTTGTTGATATAGATGTTATAAGTTTGAAACTTTGTTCTTTCACCCTGATTCTGATACGAGAAAAGGGCAAGAAGGTTATCCTAAAGCTACTGTGCTTCATAATTTTGTTTAAAGCTGTTCTAGAAATTATCTTGGGGGGCATAGGCACACAGATAAACCATGAACTGCTTGTATGCATGCTTGATCTATTGGATTTAATGGATCATATTCACACTCTCCATTTTGTGTCCACTTATATGATATTATTTCTTGTTCAAATTCTTGAGATGATCTAACTTCATCTTTTAGACCAGCAGGATGATACCTGGTTTATAAACCGTCCCTGTTTTGTATGCATGAACTGACACGTGTTAATTTCATTTACAAGGTTGACCCTGATGAGGTAAATGCTCTGGCTCAATTGATGACATGGAAGACTGCAGTAGCTGACATTCCATATGGTGGAGCAAAAGGTGGGATAGGATGCAACCCAAGGGATCTGAGTGTGTCTGAGTTGGAACGTCTTACCCGTGTCTTCACTCAGAAAATCCATGATCTCATTGGAATTCACACTGATGTTCCTGCCCCTGATATGGGAACTAATGCACAGGTACCCTATGCCTTATTGATAGATCTGTATAGTGGGGTCTTCTTGAAGCAGTCTATTTTCATAGAGCTAATACCATTATTCCTTATCTTGAATTTGGACAGACAATGGCATGGATTTTAGATGAGTACTCAAAGTTTCATGGTCACTCACCAGCTGTTGTAACAGGGAAGCCCATAGTAAGTATATGAGTTTTGGCCATTGAATGTGAAATAATGACCCTTGGATTCTGAAGAACATTATGTTATATGGTTTGTTTGTCATTGTAGGATCTTGGTGGATCATTGGGTAGGGAAGCTGCTACTGGACGGGGTGTTGTTTATGCAACAGAGGCTTTACTTGCTGAACATGGAAAATCCATTTCAGATTTGACATTTGCCATCCAGGTGCTTCATAATGTTTTCTATGCATTTGATTCATTCGGTACTGACCAAAGAAAGATAATCATTCAGTAGGAAAAAGTTCTCTTATTAAGGAAAACTGTAAATCTTTTTAGGGCTTTGGCAATGTGGGTTCTTGGGCAGCAAAGCTCATTCAAGAGAGAGGTGGTAAGGTTGTTGCAGTGAGTGACATAACCGGCGCCATTAAAAACAAAAATGGGATTGATATAGGAGAGTTGGTTAAGCACAAAAACGAAACTGGAAGTTTGAAGAATTTCCAAGGTGCTGATGCTATTGATGCGGATGAATTGCTTGTGCATGACTGTGACGTTCTCATCCCATGTGCCTTGGGAGGGGTCCTCAACAGGTTTGTCTCCATCTTCCTTCTTTCCCTTAACCTGTGTGATCAATTTGTATCTAGTAATCTAATGCAATAATATTTTTTACCATATTGAGAATTAATACAAACTAATATCTAAATAATCATATATTTTATATAATAACTTTACTGTAATGACATGGTAATATTTTGGAAATGTTGGGAAAGTCTGTCAGCCATACAAGTGTTCGCCAGATTAAACAGATGTTTGCTTGACAGAGATTGGTACATAATGAGGAAATTGTCAATGCTGCTGATTGGGTAAAGATTTAGTTTGACACAACCTTCAATTTTGGTGTTTAAAAATTAAGCTCTCTTCTTTATAGGGAAAATGCTGCACATGTGAAGGCCAAGTTCATAATAGAAGCAGCAAATCACCCTACTGATCCTGAAGCAGATGAGGTAACATCTGTGTGGTGCTATTAGTAGTAAGGAAATTGCAGTTTGTAATAATGGAAACTTCTTAACATCACATATTTTGTAACAGATTTTATCCAAGAAAGGAGTTGTTATACTCCCTGATATATATGCCAACGCTGGAGGTGTTACAGTTAGCTATTTTGAGTGGGTTCAGGTATAATTGGCTATCTTCATAGCTTGTAGTGATTAATACAGGTTGAATTTTTCACTTTGGAATGAAGCATATGTTCTTTGCTTGGACAGAACATACAAGGTTTCATGTGGGATGAAGAGAAGGTGAACAAGGAACTTCAGAGGTACATGGAAAAAGCTTTTCACAACATCAAGACAATGTGTAAAACTCATGACTGCAACCTCCGCATGGGTGCCTTCACATTAGGGGTAAATCGGGTTGCACGTGCAACCCTCTTAAGGGGTTGGGAGGCATGAACATGAGAAGACATGCCTTTTGTTTTTCACTTAGATACAAATTGAAATCTTCATTTTCTTTTTTCTGCCTTAGAATGTCTTGTTTATTTTCAGTTTCTGTGGGTTAAGAAACTTAGTATTTGGGCAACAAAGTTACTCATTAAGCATATCAGCATATGGGGTGTACAATTGAACGTTCACTTGTCCTTGAGCTGTTCTTCAGTTTCAATGTGTTTTATATCAATGTTTTTAATTAGCAGTTGAACCTTCCCATCAGATTGGTTAACTTGTCAACCACAGGGTAACTAAACCAGGATTATGATAAAATGTATGATGCAGTGTAAACGGTCCTAGATGTTTCACTAATGGAGGGCCTATTTCCACCCAAGAGAGTATATTTAAGTTGTTCTGGAATCTATAGAGCAAGGTTTTTAAAACCGAACCGGTCAGGGGTCCGTTCTCAGGTCGAACAGTATAACCGTTCAAATCAAATGGACAGCCCATTCTGACAAAAAATAAAATAAAAATAAAAAATGGACAAAACTGTTAGATGGTTTGAACAGTTTGACTGCCCGGGTCAGCGGTTTTCTGACCAAATCAACGGTTTTTGGTGAAATAACATTTCTGGGGTAAAACAGAACCGGTCACCTGACCAGTTCCCGGTTTTTCCAGTCTAACGTCTGGTCCGATCTGGTTTTGAAAACCATGCTATAGAATATATTTAACTAGTTTAGTGAAACTACAAGGTATATTTAAGCAATCAACCCAAAGATTAAGTAATTTACTTAAGCTAAAATTTGAAACAAAAATAGGTCAGAATTTACATTTAAATCATTTGCACTGCCATGATTTTGCAGCAGTGCAAATTTATTTGCATTGCAACCAAATACAGTATTAGGCTCGATTTGGAAGGTATACAAATACAAATATGTATAGTACAAATACATATATTATACAAGGTTTTTCACTTTACATATATATATATATATATACTCCTTTGGAAAGAATATAAATACAAATACATACAGAATAATACAAATACAAAAGGATTTGCACTATTTGTATATCTACTCTTTCCAAATTGAGCCTACACAAAAGGCCAAGATGGGAAAATATTAAACAGAAAATTATGTCCATCAAATACAGCTTCATTGGCTTTCATTCCTACTTAACTACACCGCACACATCATCATCATATATATCAACGAACTGATTAATTATTACCGGTCCCACAGCGCCAATGATTAACATTTGAAATTGGACCGGATCTCTAATAGGCCCAATGGCATCCTATAATCTAATGATCCAGCTAATACTGGTTCAACCTGATTTGATAAACTTAATGGACACCAAAATCCAATTTTATCGGACTGGATTCAGATTGGTCCCGGTCCATTGACAGCTCTAGTTCTAGGATCAAATGGCAGTAGTCCTAAGATCATAGAGTAGCTTCTCGTTTCTGATCTATATCTATATCTATCTATCATATTTATAAAAGTGTGAATAGGTGTCTCTGGCTTTTAGAATTTTTATGACAACAAGGCCCCCTTCACTTTTCGGTAAGTTACTTAACCAGGTAAATTCAGTTATCTGGGTGAGTTTTCCTGGGAAATACTTACCCGGGTAAGTGCATTTACCTATGTTTTTTAATTTCTCATGTAAATAAGGCAATGACCGTTTCAACCATAAAAATCTATTATTAAAAGAGGCATTTTTGTCCCATTCAAGTGTTGGCAACATTCCCCCTAGGTGAGAAAGTTATTTACCCACCTAGGAGATGGGTATCACTTACCCGGATAAGTGGTACCCAGGAAAATAAACTTTCCCTAATCCCCACATAAATCTAAAAAAAGAACATGGGATTCTTGGTCAATGGGAACCAAAATCCCATTGACCAACTTCCCCCCCTCTAAAAAAATCCGAAAAAAAAATGCCCCCCAAATGCCCACTCTCTAAAGTTTGAATTGGAAAATAAGCAAAGGCAAATTGATTGTTATTTAACATCTTCATTTATTGCTTATTTGATAAGAACACACAAAAGTACTTCTTTTTTTCAATAACTGAAAAACAAACTATATGAAAAGTGTCATTTTACATTTTTCATTTAATGTTTATCTATACTATTGTTAAAAATGGATATAATGGTGTAGAACTTTTGTTTGGCTAAATTATCCCAATTTTTGAATTTTGACCCTTGTTTAATTTTAAGGACAAAAATGTAATTTGCAATACCACTTTTCTCTTCATTTAAATCCCTCTCATTAAGTTTCATATTTAAAGTATTAATTCCCACTAGCATTCATCGAATCCTATTCTTGACTATAATACCCCTATTTTTTTAATTTGGTCTCTCTATAATTATGAGGGTTCAAAATGTAATTTGAAGTATTATATTTATCCTCATTCAATTCTCTTTCATTAAGTCTTATCTCTTATCTTGGGGTATTAACTCCCATTATTTTAAAGAAAAATAAGTGTAATAAATAATAGTTACTTTATTGATGTTGGAAATAAAATATAAAATTTAAAATCAAACAAAAATGAAATTGTTTTCTTGGTGGCGGGTCAATAATTCAACATTTGGAGTCATATGTGTCAACCATTGATTTCGTAATTAAATAATAAAAGGTTAAAAAAAGATAAAAACACAAAAATGAAAAAGATAGAAACTTTATAGAAAACATTTGGGCACATCTCTAAAATGTAGTTTGAACTATTACATTTATCCTCATTCAATTCCCTTTCATTCAGTCTTATCTCTTATCTTGGGGTATTAACTCCCATTATTTTATTGAATCCTATATTAAGATATTATTTTCACAAAATAAAAACAAATAAATTTGATCAATTAGATCTACATCCAATACTTTTTAACGATATAAAATACATCTTTTTTTTTAAATTTACCCAAAAATATAACTGCCTTTCCATCATCATGACGAGTAAGCAATTCAACTATATGAGTCAAATGGAGTTATCCTTGATATCATAATTAAATAAAAAAAACTTTTAAAATATAAATAAATAACAAATATGGAAAAATTGGGCATATCTCATATATATATATATATATATATATTCATATTAAAGAAAAATAAGTGTAATAAATAATAGTTACTTTATTGATGTTGGAAATAAAATATAAAATTTAAAACCAACCCAAAAATGAAATTATTTTCTTGGTGGCGGGTCAATAATTCAACCTTTGGAGTCATATTTTCCAACCATTGATTTCGTAATTAAATAATAAAAGGTTAAAAAAAGATAAAAACACAAAAATGAAAAAGATAGAAACTTTATAGAAAATATTTGGGCACATCTCTAAAGTATAATTTGAACTATTACATTTATCCTCATTCAATTCCCTTTCATTAAGTCTTATCTCTTATCTTGGGGTATTAACTCCCATTATTTTATTAAATCCTATATTAAGATATTATTTTCACAAAATAAAAAACAAATAAATTTGACCAATTAGATCTACATCCAATACTTTTTAACGATATAAAATACATCTTTTTTAAAAATTTACCCAAAAATGCCTTTCCATCATCGTGACAAGTAAGCAATTCAACCATATGAGTCAAATGGAGTTATCCTTGATATCATAATTAAATAAAAAACTTTTCAAATATAAATAAATAACAAATATAGAAAAATTGGGCACATCTCATATATATATAAAGGTTAAAAAATACAAAAATGAAAAAGATAGAAACTTTATAGAAAACATTTGGGCATATCTCTAATATTTTATATTAATCATATTTAAAATTAGACACGAAAACAATAATTATTTTTAGCATTTTATTGATGATATAAATAAAATACAAAATTCAAAACTAACCCAAAAGTGAAATTGTTTTCCTATTTGGTGGTAAATCAATTTAGCATTTCAAGCTAAATGTGTCAACTCATGAAGTTATAATTAAATAGTAAAATTTTAAAAAGATAAACACACACAGATATATATATATATATCTTTTTTAAAAATTTACCCAAAAATATTACTACTTTTCCATCGTCGTGACGAGTAAGCAATATAAAAAACTTTTAAAATATAAATAAATAACAAATATAGAAAAATTGGGCACATCTCATATATATATAAAGGTTTAAAAAATACAAAAATGAAAAAGATAGAAACTTTATAGAAAACATTTAGGCACATCTCTAATATTTTATGATGTGACGCAATCCGGCTGCTCCTAGCTGGTGATGACTTGGCTTCCAGTAGACGACAGACTTGACTAATCTGCACAAAGGGGAATCAAAGAACCCGGGGGTGCTTACCCGGCGAGGTCGCTCCGATGCTTAAGTCAATAACTTGCGAGCTGATGGTAGCTTAGAAAGCAAGAGAGCTAGTGAGTAGAGATTACGCGTACCTTCGCCCCTAGAGGGTTGGGGTCTTTATATATTGGAGTCCTCGCGGGTTTTTCGGAGTGGTTCCAGGATTCTCGCTATGATGAGGCCCGTTTCCGTATTAACAGGAGATAACATTGCTAGCCGATAAGGCTTATTGCTTCCGCTCGAATCGGATGGGAGAGATAAGGCTAGCTGTTACGAGGCGTGATCCCGTAAAGCGTGGAATCTGGTGGCGAGATCTTCGGGGTTGTCATGCAGAGGTTGGTCAATATTACCCGAGCTAGTGCCCTTTGGATCCGACCTGGTATGACTTCCGAAGTGCCTTGGAACCACATGTCCCCCTATTACTAGGTCGGGCCAAATCACACTACATCAATTGCCCCCCACTCCCCGAGCCAGGGGTCCTGACCCGGTGTGAGGAGTTCATGACGAGCCAAGTGGATTTGGTCCGAGGTCCAGGCATCTAGTCAGATGAATCACGAGTCAGACTTGTTCGGCCACCCGGCTCAACCAGGAAAACCCAGGTCGCGTCTGGCTTACATGCGGACGTCACACGATTTGTAAACTCTACGAACGTCAAAAAATGCGCTAAATCGGTTTTATCCTCGGGGGTCGCACAGCCAGTTTTCCTAGGAGCCGTTGGATTGCTTCGATCTCGACCGTTAGTTCTCGGACATAGCGGCTATAAATAGGGGGTCCATGACTCATTTTTCTTGCCACAAATTCTGTGATTGAGCTCTCCCGAGGTCGCATCGGAGTCTTCCAGCTCAGTCTTCTTTCTGTTTTCCACTTCGTCCTTTCTTTTCGGTGAGTCCTCGTTT